TGATTCTCTTCCATTAATTAAATTAAATTAATCATTCATTTTGAAATAGTCAAATAAATTTTTTTTATAATTCTTATGCAAGTGCTTGAAATTATTCAATGAAAAAAATGTAGGAAGAACACATGCTTAAAAAGGTTTACTTTTCAATAATTTTAACAAATTCAAAATGTTAAAAGTTTATATAATAAATAAAAGAATAAAAAAATGTTGTGTTTACATATTATCAAATCTGTTTTGCCCTTTCTTGCTGGATTATTATCTTGTCCAGTTTATTTTTGATATTTGATCTTTGCACACAGAATTCATATGTAGCAAATGTATGTGAAACCAATAATGTATCTGGAAACAATCCAATTATTGCTTCATCAATTCCTAATGGCCAGAAATATAAATCCTCATTTTTTAAATAAATACTCAATAGATGTTTTGAGTAATCTTTTGACTCTGCAGACAAAAATCTTAACATAAATCTTTTCAATGTTACAATAAGTGCATCTGCTGGTATTTTTGCCCTTTGATCAATCATCATTGTTGATTGTTGTGGTTGGTGTTGTTGATTATTAGCAAACCAAACCACAGATGCAATTTCATTCTCTTGCTCTGATGTCAATTTTTCTTTATAAGCATCATTAATACTTGAATATTTATCAATTGGTTCAATTTGGTAAAGAACATCAAAGACCTTGTTAATAAAATCAGCTAAAGGAATTTCTTGTTCATTTGATTCCTTTCCAATTTCAATTATTTCTTTTATATTTGACATTAGAATAGTATTTGCGAAATCTTTATTTATTATTATATTTTGTAGGAAGAAGGTGACAATAGAAATGGTTCGATATATACATCTTCATCACCGCCATCATCGTTGCCAATATCAACACCAAAAACAATTTTTCCAACACCAATATTAGCATCTTCATCTTCTTCATTAACAGAACCGTTATCGTCATCTTTACTAACAACAACAGCATCTTCTACTACTAATAGTATTAATAGTTCATCATTTGTAATAAAATTAGAACCAGAAGGAAATGAAATTGAGAAAATGAATCATACAATTAAGGTAATTTAAATAAGTGGTGTTGGTAGAGAAAGATTGATTAATTATCTGCTTGAACGTGATTCTTTAATTTTCAAATTTTAAATAATAATAAAAGCAAGAAGAAATCGATATTTCTTTATTACCAATTATTACATCAAGAAGACACGCTTCAACACCTTTATTTTACAACAACAAGAATTCATCATCATCTTCGTTACCATCATCATCTGTTTCTAATTCTTCTTCTTCTTCACTATATCCATTACCATCATCGCTTTCTTTACTAAACACAAACAATACAAATCGTTGGAGCCCACATGATGATTCTCGATTATTAACAGGATTGGTTGAATTTGGTGGTAAATGGGCTTTGATTTCTAGAAATCATTTTAATGGTAACAAATCATCTATTTCTTGTAGAAGAAGATTTGAAGCATTATCCAGAAAAATTCTTCAAAGAAAAAAAATTGATTAATGGGTGGTGACGAAGAAGGAATATTTTTCTATTATGTTTTTTATTTTAATAATATATATAATAAAATAAAGAAACTAATTATATTATAATAATCAAGCTTTTCTTGATTTAAAAGTTATAATTGGAATGGTGACTTTCAGATTTTAAAAAAATTTCCTTAATATTATAAGGGCGGCTCGACTCTTAGGCTCTGACTGATACATGAAACCGAAATGATAAATGATAGAAATTATTTTAACATTGTTTATTACATCATTTAATAAATTTTGAAAAAGTAACAAATTTTTTATTGTCTGTGAGTAAATGCTTTAGAAGATCAATTGTTTATCTGACGAAAAGTTTTTATACCATTTCTGACAAATCTTCTAAAGAATATATATAAATCTTTTTGTGAAGACAATAAATAATCAACGAAATTAAACATTCTGTATCAACTTTTTGAAAATGTCTGCAAGTTTATTTATATATAAAGACCATAGATGTGATTGGACTTCATAAATATATAGGACATCATATTATATCAAATTACGATGCCACCCACCTCCAACTGTGCAGGTGCTTTTTTCCGCAAACAAAGTTCTATCTTACCACTTTCTTAGGAGCGACAACAATTGTATTATATGTTCAAAATTTTAATGTTCAGATATACAGAATCTATAATATTAATAATGCAATATAGCGAATGACGATAAAAATATTGGAAAGTTGATTAATTTTTAAACCTTTAAGGCCTCTTTTTATTAATAGAATTTAGATTGTAAAAATAGGAATAATTTTTGACATTACGTATAATCGTCCTGCTAATTTATTTTTTAAAATTTCGATCATGAGACTATTTTGAAGTCGAACTCAAAGCCAATTCTTCATTCACTCGGGTGCCAAATTTTTACATTATTAGTCAATATTATCAAACTTCAGTAATTTATTATTTCAATTGCACATGTAAAAAGATTTTGACGAATATAATAAAGGGTGGCATGGAACTTATACCGGTTACATTAATAACATCTATCTATTACATAGAATTCCCAATTAGTGAATTTGACATTTAAACCATTCTCGCTTAATTCCAAGTCCATGAAGTCTTGAACTATATTCTACAAGATGGATCTCACGAATAAATAAATTAATGATTGTGAGACAAACCAATGAAATGAAGTGCTGGAGGGAGTTGATGAACTTTATCAAGATAACTTTTGTATCTGACTGAAATTTGGCAATTAGTATTAATATTAATTAAAAACATTTCGAAGTTCAATCATCTAATTGTCTTTATCAAAAAAGAAACAATCTATTTCTATGGTAAAATTTTAGAGCGGCACAGGTTATAAAGTCTTCATTACCATTAATAGAATTAGAATTATTAAAAAACTACTACTATCTGGGTAATTATGATTTACCATTAGTAAATAAAATAAACAATTCTCTTTATTATTTTATTCAGTGTTTTAATTATTATTAAATCTATTAATATTATATCAATCATAAAACCACAAATTAAACAATTAATTAAAACCCAATATGCTATCAACGTCGATTTTAGTTCTAATCTTGGTTGCTCATTTGAGCCAAAGCATCATTATTTTGATCTCTAACTTCCGAAATAACCTTGAAAATTCGTCCCCTTTCTTCTTGTTCAGCTGCAGTACCAACTTTCTCGAATGCCTCCTCACTCCTATCAAGTAAACGTACCAAATCTGTATCTGGAATAATCTCATCCCCTAACTGAGCCAATTGAACTTTCTCATTATCTTCTCCTGCTAAAATTTCTTCCAATTCAGCTAGACTGGCAATTGGATTGTCACGAGATGTTGGAAGCTTGAATTTTCCTTTATGGATAACCAATTTTTCCAACTTTCTTTTGGCAGATGCTTTCTCTAAAATCTTACATTCTATAGTATTTGCAGTTACCATTCTGTAAATTATAACTGGTCTCGTTTGTCCAATACGATGTACACGATCTTGTGCCTGTAAATCTATTTGTGGATTCTAAAGGAGGGTGGAGTAAAAAGTCAATATATTGAATACTATGTATTAAATATAGTAAGAAGTATAACTATACCCAGTCACTATCATATATAATAACAGTATCGGCTGCAGTCAAGTTAATGCCCAACCCGCCAGCACGTGTTGAAAGAATGAATAATTTTATTTTAGGATTTGTATTAAATTCTTGGATCTATAATCAATCAATATGTATAATTAGAACATCACACACACACAATATAATTTAAGACACCAAGACACGAACAAAACACATACTTGTTTTCTTCTAGTTTCCTGGTCTATGCTACCATCAATTCTACACAATTGCCAGTTTTCATATGTAGTAGCCCAATCTTCAATAATGTCAAGCATAGTTGTGAATTGTGAAAATATTAGAACTTTATGGTCGCGTTCAAATAGCGCATCAAGCAATCTCTTCAACAATATCATTTTTCCGGAAGCGGCAATCAATTCTTTAGATATTTGGTAGGTATCTGTTTCTGGATCAACAGGCCAATCAAACAAATAAGGATGATTACAAATTTTGCGCAGCTGCATAACTGCATTCTGTAATTTCATGCAATTGACAGATTTGACTACATAATAAACAAATAGATGAAATAATGGTGTATGAGTAAGTAAGTAATTGGTGAATAATAATAAAAATAATTCTAAAAATAATTCTAAAATAAATAGC